TCAAAACCCCATGGGTCTGTGCCTACTTATCTTTATGATGCCCCTCCTGCATTCCAGCAGATTTGAATTTCCTCTAAGCAACTCTTCTGGACTGAATTCTGTGGAGTCCCTCTGGTATGTGTCACTCCATAACCATCACAAGTCGATTAATTTTTTTGTTAGGAAGACTCTAAGTCCTTATTGAAGCAGACCTCCTTCTGTTTTGCTGGCATCGAAGCTGGCCCTCTGCTTAGCAAGCCCATTTGTAACTCATTGCCTGCCCTGGGGCATCTGATACTCAATCACTCAGGCACTCACTGCCCTTGAGTTGATTCTGACCTATAGCATCCTTCTAGGGCAGGGTACCATGGGCCTTGTGAGTTTCTGAGACTGTTACTCAGCCTTGTTTTTCTTCCAAGGAGTGGGGAGTGGCTGGCGGTTTTGAACTGCTGACTTTGAGGTTACCAGCCCAATGCATAACCACTATGCAACCAGGGCTCTTGTAGGCCCAGAATAGCGCCTGACTATTTGTCAGTTACACGGCAGCACTGCAGTTGAGCTTTGTGTGGTGCGAGTTGGATTCTCTGGGCACTAATGTTCTTGGTGTCTGTTTCCCCAGAGCTGCCGCCCAGGCCTCGGGTGTGCGGTAACCGAGGCAGAAGCATCAGCGTGAAGGCACCCACCCCACCCCAAGTGCAGCAGGGGCCCTTCAAGACCATGCCCCTCCGGTGGTCTTTCGGATCCAGGGAGAAACCGCCTGGTGCATCCATGGAGTTGGTGGAGTACTTAGAGTCCAAACGGAGACCTCGGCCCACCAGCAGGTCCATCGTGCCGCTGCTGACCGGCGCTGTGGGTGGGCAGGGGAGGCCAGCGGCGCCCCATGCAAACCTGGCCCTGGGTGCGCATGGTGACGACAGGGTGCGAGCCGGTGGGGGCGCCCAGGCCACAGTGCCCCAACCCAACCACTGTCCGCCCCCTGGGAACTCCGATGGTCTGAACGCAGCAAGGAAAGTAAGAGAAGGTGCAAACCAGGAGATCAGGCTGCCCAGGCAGTTTGACCTGCCCCTCCCCGTGACACCCTGCACGGAGAGCGAGAGGGAGTTGCGGCCCCGACCCGAGGGCCAGAGGACCCGGAACAGTAGGGTGAGTGGCCCCCAGGGCAGTAATAGGACTACATCCTCCCACGCCATGGGGTTCCGTGGGAACAGCAAGGACAGTCACCACATAGCGGCCCAGCCAGGGCCTGGCGTGGAGAAAAGGGACTCTGATGGATTTCATCAAGGGACACTCACCCTCCTGAGGTCTGTGTTTTGGAAGAAAGAGAACAGGAGGAACGGCGAGGGGGCAGAGGTTTGCTCCAAGGCATCCCCTGGTGCCCTGCTACAGGACAGGCTGGGCACAGCTTCGGGGGCACAGGCGCAAGCCCCGCCCCCTGCCCTGGGGGTCCCAGAGAGCTTGGCCAGGGCCCCCGCCAGCTCCTTGGAGAGGGACGTGCGCTCAGCACCCAGCTCCTTCCGCCTCCCTCGCAAAACCAGCAAGCACCCGACTGGCAGCACTTTTGGCTCTTTCCAGAGGCGTGTTCCTGGGGAGCAGACTTCCTACGGCAGCACCCTGCAAAGGGTGAAATACCACACCTTCTCCTTGGGCCGGAAGAAGACGTTACCAGAATCCAGCTTTTGAAAGTTGCTTTCCAGTAAGAGGTGGGGAGGCTTAAAAAAAAAAAAAAAAAAATTGTGGAAACATGGAATTCTGATCATGGGATTTCCCCCATGAATTTCATTTTTGATGGTATAAAACTGGCTGGCATTCCTGCAACTTTGCACAGAACAGCTTCCATGGTCTGGACACATCAGGGGGCAGTCTGGGTTGAGAGGGGGGCCTCTGTTGAGCCAGTGGGCATGTGAGCCCACATTTGGAGTGCCAACTCCTTTTGGATGCCCCATCGGCTGCTTTATACTGTCGGGCCACTAGAGGGGGTGGTTGGGTAAGTAGTACCATTTAAGAATAAGCCTGATTTTTAAATGATCCTGCTGGATCAGGAAGTTGAGACTTCTATTCTCGGAAAGATTTACACTCCGGAAACCCACAGGGCAGTTCTACCCGGTCCTGTAGGAAGGACCCTATGAGTCAGAATTGACTCAATCAATGGAGATGAGTTTTGAGAACTTGAGCTATTCTAAAAAGTCATTTGGATTTGTGCAAACCTTTGAACATAACTCTATTAATATAACTGTATTATTTATGTTATGTGTTGTGATTGACTACTTTTAATTACATATGTATGTGTATATATACATATATATGGAGTAGCCTATCTTTTTCAGTGTTTCTCTGCAATAAAACATTTAAGAGATAAATAAAGGTAACAGGAATTTAAGTCAGAATGCTTGGGGGGGGCTTGGAGAGAAATGATTGTGATTTTAAGAGAATATTTAATATATAACAAACTATTAAAGATTTTCAAGGTATTTTTAAAGAGACAACTATTTTGGTAGTCGGAGAAGAGAAACTTCTTTTTTTTTTTTAATAATAAATGTGAGATCCATGTATAATTTTAATAAAAGTCCACCACTGAAAATATGCGCACGGTTGTGTGAATTACTGATTTTTGTGACACGTGACTGTGTTGTGGCTCTGCTGTGAAAGCCTAGCTACCGATAGAGTCACAACTTAACATTTGTTCTGAAATTTGAAAGTGCGTTTAATGGAAAACACTGGCTTTGGTTCCTAAAAAAATGGCGTTACATCAAATTACCCCAGTGACTCCTCTCCCCCTTGAGGGCTTCTACTGGCTGAGTGTTAGGCAGCCTTGTGGTTGACTGACTGGGCGGGGGCAGTACAAATAGCTAAGCTCTCTACTTGCCACGGAAGGGTTGGTGGTCCACACCCAGGAACAGACTCCAAAGAAAGGCCTGGCAATCGGCTTCCAAAAGCCCACCGGCTTGGGAGCCCCCAGGTCACAGCTGTCCTGTGTGTACCACAGGGGGCACCATGAGTGGGATGGCAACTGGCTTGACTTGGTGGAAGGAAGATGGCAATGCCTTCTCCTGGAGATATTTGCAGCCTTGGGATTGACTCCAGGGCAGTGGGTTTGGCTCCTGTGTCTGTGAGCTGTGAGCAACAGTGGGAGCTAGAAGTATCTGAGATCACAAGGCAAGAAGCTCTTGTCCTAACCTGTGGTAGTTAGTGTAATGGACTGCAATACCTTCCTATGCCACCCGCCCTCCCCTTCTAGCCAAGGTCTTGTGACTCCGTGAAGTGGTTGAGTGGAACTATGCAAATACGGTGTTTGTGGCCCACCAAGAGGACTGGTCAGTTGCCATGCTACTAGGCCTCAAGGGAGCCAATCCTAGAAGTTGAACGAACAGGGCCTCATTACCACCAAGAAGAGCAAGGGATAGAGGGAGTTCTTTGGACCTGGGGTCTGCACTGAGGACTTCTTAGAGCCAGGAGACAGCTGTAACACTGGAGGCAGTGTGCGATGGTGAGAGGGGGCAGCAGACAGAACAGTGGCAGAGAGACAGCAGCAGCAGCAGAACCAGGGGTCCTGTGCAAGACAGCCTGAGAGGGGCTTTCTGGCCCGCAGAGGGAAGTGACTAGCGGGCTTGCCAAACCATAGCAAGAGAGCTAGGCACCTTCAGGCAGGAGGCTGGAGAGCAAGATGCAGCGGGTGTCGTTAAAAGATAATGGGGAAATGTTTGGGAACTTTTGGAAGCCCCCTCGTATATGATGCATCAAGCATTCCAGGTCCTGGCAGCAGGATTTCACCTGAGAGTTGGTGAGCTACCTGAGAACTCTGCTGACTGGATTGCATTGGTTAGACATGCAGTAGTTGTCACTAACCAACACTGTGTGCAAGGCCTATACGCCTTCTAAGAAGAACTCAATTCTTAACAATGCTTCCAGGTAGATCCAGTTATTTCTGTTTTACAGAGGAGCAAAGTGAAGGATAGAGAGATGAAGTAACTTACTCAAGCTCACATAGCTAGTAAGTAGCAGAGCCCAAATTTGAAATCAGGTGTGGTACTTACTACATAATCTTGTGTCAACTTGATATTAAGCGTTAAGGGGTGGAAACTAGCCTGCCAATCAGGTCACAAGCCATGGCCTTCTCATGAGGATTCTGGGAACTTCCTCTCTCTCTCTCTCCTTCACCTTCCTGTGGAGGAGACACTCAGAGAGCTGGAGGAGCCAGCACCAGTGCTGAGATGCTTCCACCAGCATTGGATCCACAAGACTTGACACCTACCAGCCTGTGTTCTTCCTGCACTTGGCATCATTCCATGTGCTGAGTGAATGTGAAGAGGAATTTATAGACTAGTATCACATGGGGTACCAGCCCCCACAATCGAATGGACCCAAAGGGCGGTTGTGTAATTGAGGGGTAAAATTAGATATCAGACAAGATAAGGCATACAATTGCTCACCTCCAGACGACCATGATCTCAGCAGCCAGGTCCCTGCAGAGAGAGCAAATATATTTCCAATCATGCAAGCCCCCCTATTTATATCATAACAGGAAGGGGTTGTACCATAGGCATACATGCAATAGGAGGGGGACACGCTAGAGGTGTACACAATAGGAAGGGGAGGCACTAGGGGTACACATGTGACAAGATGGGCTGACTCTAAGTCAAGATGGTAGCCTAACCTAGACCCTTGAGTTGGCTTGACCTTGCCTTTGGGCTCTCCTTTAGGGAAATAATCCACTATCCTTATCAGCAGGGCGTGGGCCCCACCTAGGGTGGGACAGACAATAGTGTGATTGCTCTAGATGGCTGATAACCCCCAGGGAGATCATCTTTAAGCAGCTGGACTCCCAAGTGTATAGCTATTGACCATGTGTTAGCAAGCAGCATCTTAGGTTTGGCATATAATATGGGGGGACACCCTGGGGATAAACTTTTTTGTATCCCACAGTATCAGACATAGGGGATAAGATCAGACATACGGACATGGTCTGGACTGGGCTGGGAGGTTTTCTCTATTCAATTGCTCTTTAGTATAAAGCTCTTTCCTAAACATCTATGAATGCCCCTGGATTTGTTTCTCTAGTCAACCCGGTCTAGCACAACAGGGCATTCTGGCTTGGGATCCAATGCTCAGAAGTACTGTGCTTAACCTTATTAATGAAAACCAGATCTTTCTCTGGAAATTCTTGCACATCCAAATACAGGAGAACACACTTACAGACCAATTGCTTGTATTGACTGGAGACAGGAGCTGTATTCATTGGTTCCTTCCTTCCTTCATTCCATCAAGGAGACTGCATCCAGAAAAGTCCCTGCAGGTGGCCTCACTACCTAAGACTGACCAGTGCATGCATTCCCCATGACAGAGGCCTCTTTTGTGGTAATAAAATTGTGGAACAGAATGGAGAGGTGAAAGGCTCAGAGCACGGCATGTTTTGAGTCTCGGGAGCATTCATTTCTGATTCTTCCTGGGATGTAGTGTTGCTTTTGATCCAGTGTTTGGCAGGGAGGGGCTGCTGCAGTGTCGTCTGCCTGCCCCTGCCGTCCTTTCCTTACGTGACTCTTGTCTTCTAGTTGGAAGAGGCAAAAAGCAAGATGACTCTAGTGACTCAGGGAACTGCTGTCAATTACCCAGGTCTCTGCGTTGCCGCCAAGTTCAAGGTCCTCGCTTGAACAGCAGCCCTGTTCATTGTTGTTCAACTCAAGGGTAGCCTCTACGTGCTTTGAACAGACTTTGTTGCATACTTCACCATTCTGCCCCTCCTGATCTAAGCATTATACATAATAGGGGTTTCCTTGGCTAGTTTGGGAGAGAAGGAGCAATAGAGGTGCCTCTACTCCTGTAAAGAGTTACAGTCTGGGAAACCCTCAGGAGCAGTTTTACCCTGTCCTGTAGCGGCACTATGAGTCGGAATCAACTCGATCATCTTACTGTTAATTTTTCAGGTTTGGAAAAGAGCTTTCCAGGCCTTTCTTCCTGGTTTCTCAGACTGGAAACTCCACTGAAACGTCTCCGGTTTCAGAGCAACACATACATCTCCACTGACAGGTGGGCGGGGATTGCACCTGAGGTGTGCAGGTCAGGAATTGAGCCCAGAGCCCCCACGTGGAAGGTGAGGATCCCACTGCTCCACTGTCCCCGCCTCCTTGACACCCGTTTATCCAGGTGCCGTAAACCCCACTCAGACAAGTCCAGTGCTGGTCTGGGCTTCCGGAGATTAGGGTCAGCCCAGGTAAACGGCCGGGGCTTCTTTGAGGAATGATGACAGAAAGTATGTGGGACAGATGCAGCACCGTAATAGGGTCCTTCCACCATGGGACTTTCCGTCACTTAAGGAAGTCTGGATTTGCTAGCTGACTCAGATCAGGGAGTTGGATGAAAAGTTCAGACACGGATTCATGTCAGAGTTCCAGTTTCCAAAACCTGGAGAATTTGGGGGTTATTCATCGTAATTAAGACAAAACTCCCCTCACTGAAGGGTCACAAGGAAGGGATGAGCCAGGCAGGGTGCAGTATAGCACCGACAAAACACACAACATACCTCTAGTTCAGTGGTTCTCGACCTGTGGGTCGCGACCCTTTGGGGGAGAGTCAAACGACCCTTTCACAGGGGTCACCTGATTCATAACAGTAGCAATATGACAGTGATGAAGTAGCAACGAAAATAATGTTACGGTTAGGATCATGATGGGGCGGCGGGAGGAAGCATGTAGGAAATAGAGGAAAGTTGTATTTTTCATCATTGCTCCATTGTACCCTGACTGGCTCGTCTCCTCCCCGAGACCCCTCTGCAAGTGGACCAGCACACTCTTAATATCATAGCAGCTGACATTACAACGGAGTTTACCACAAATGTATCTGCATCAGAGTCCTTGGGTGGTGCTAATGATTAACATGTTTGGCTGCTGACTGAAAGGTTGGTGGTTCAAGTCCACACTGAGGCACCTCATGAAGGCAGGCGTGGCACTCTACTTATTTAAAAAAACCATTGAACATGGTGTGGAGAATGGTACTATCCGACTCCATGTGGGGTCCAGTCGAGTCAACAGCAACGGGCCTGGTAGGTGGGCGAGGGTGGTGCGGTGGGTGGACCAATGAGCCCACCAGCCCTCTGTAGGAGAGAGAACGAGACGGTTTGCTTCCATAAAGATGCCCAGCCTCAGAAACACGATGAGGCCGCGCTGTTCTGCCCTGGAGGGTCCCTGTGAGGCAGGATCGACTCCATCCATGGCAACGGATTTAGTTTGGGTCCTAAACAGAACGGTGCAGGGTATGCGTGGGCTGTGGTCCGAGTGGTCGGTTCAAAACCACCAGCAGCATCTCCATCTCGGGAGAAAGCCTGGGCTAACAGTGACAGTCTCGGAAACCCACAGGGGGTCGCTATGAGTCAGCAATGACTGGATGGCACAGAGTAGTTTTTTGATATGGTGATACATCAGTCAATGCATCGAGCAATATCCAATATTATAATATCCAATATTATATAATTTATGGCTTATAAATTATAAAATTTACCTCCTTTAAAAAAACCTCACATTTTACAGAATTCTGGATGCGTCTAGATA